GCAAGCAAAACAAAACAAGGAATTCATTCATCACCTCCCGTGGGCAGGCAGGTGTTCAGCCAAACCAGAGGGGCTCTGTCACCTGGAAGAGGGACTTGGGAAGACAACATATCATCACTCCAAATGTCCTCTTCTCCCACCTTTATAAGCTGAGCATGAACTCACATGGTCTGGGATATCYCTTGGGTCACCTGGGGTCAGCTGTCCTGGCTGTGTCCCCTCCCAACTCCTTTTACACCCCCAACTGATTCAMGGTGRGATGAGGAGCAGAAAAGGCCTCAACTCTGTRCAAGCCCTGCTCAGMAATAATGAAAATTCTCTGTGTAATTAACACCACTTTCAGCAAGAATCCAAAACACAGCCCAGAACAGCTTCAGTGAAGAAAATTAACTCTGCCTGAGCTGAAATCAGCACATCTTTACACAAACACATGAGAAGCATTATGTGCCCTCCTGTGCTACTGAATTCAGAATAATTTACCTTTTCTAGATTTCTAAGGTGCAATTTGTGGGCTTTTTTTTTTTTTTTTTTTTTTTTTTCCCTTTATTTCCTATTTGAATGTCAGCAGGTCAAAAGGAACAGTTAATGCTGATGAATATTTCCCCCTCAGCAAAGATATGTCCTGGCCAGCCTAAGGCCAATGAATCGCAATTTCTAAACATTGTCCCATTTATCTCTCCCCTCCCCCTTCCTCCCCTCCTTGCTTTTATATTTTTGTAGCTATAATTGTAGTTAAATTAGAAATAACTGACGGGCAAATCCAGTCRGATGGAAAGAAAATTGTGGGAGATTTATTTTATTTTGATAAAAAACTGACATTGCTTTTTGTTTTTGTCAAAAAAGGACTCTATTTTTCCTTACCATGAATTGTGAAATCTATCACGAAATGGGGAAAAATTATTGAAGCAAATGGTGGTGTTAACCTGAAGGGGAAAATCATTAATGTTGATGTATTTCATTCAATTTTAAATGTAGAATTTGTTTTATTTTATTTATTTGGCATTGGGGAACAAGGGAAAAGGCAGGAGACTTGTAAAGGACTCTATGTGCCTTTAAGTCAAAACATCTATTTTAAAGAATGCTCTTCCCTCCCTCCACCTCTCTCCATTTTTCTAAATAAAGGATATGAGGTGGTGGTGGTGGTGGTGGGTTTTTTTTCCTAAGCAAAGAGGGCCCCCTCGGCACATTTTTCTTTTCAAATGTGAAATGAGGTGGAAAATCCTCATTTCACGACAGGAAGGACAAATATTGACACAAAGTTAATATTTGTCGTGAGCCCTAGAAGCAACCTGAGTGCTAAAATCTCATCTAGATGTATGTGCTGGTGTTTTTATGTATATAAATAAATAATAAAATTGCCTTGATGACGGGGGGAACCTGCAGWGAGCAAAGGCTGCTCGCTGAGGTGGAGGAATTATCTGCAGAGGGTGAGCACACACATATTCAGGGTATCATTTCTCTTTCCTTGTGTGGAGCAGGACAAACAGGTGAATTCATTCATTCATACTTCCTCTGCCTGGGTGCACAAGATCCCAGTGTGATGTTCAACAAAATATGAATATCTCTCCATCTTTTCCCACTCATTTCTAGGGACTGTGTTTGACTCTTTCTTCTTTCCCCACTTTGCTCTCCCTCTCACACATGTGTGTGTGTGTGCAAACACACACAAATAGAAACCTGTGTAATCTAATTTCACCCATTGCGGGGGGATGCTTCTGGAATTTATCACTGTTATTGTTCGTCAGCAATGTAAATAGCACATGTCAGCTCAATATTCAGTGGTCACTCAGTATTTATTAAGTCCTGTCCACTCTGGCCTTTTTTAGAGGAAAGCCCTGGGGCRGATTAGCTGCCGGCCGTGACACGCCGCGTCACTTATCTGTTCGCATTGATTATCAGAGTCAGCTGTGGCCAGGACTCACTTTTTTCTTCTCCTCTCAGACCCCTCTTACAAGCACCCCTGCTTGGATTTTCATGAGGAAATAATCAGATTAGGGCTTCAGTGGCGAGTTCATATGGAGTTCTCTTTCTCCAATGTGCTACTAACCGAATAAACGTGTTTTGTGGTAAATTGTAAATGACATTATGATTACTAAGGCCAGCATGGGTTTCATTTAAAAGTGATCGAAATTGCAGGCTGCAGAAATTGTGAGTGGCAGATAAGGCCATTTGGAAGGAGACAAGCAGTGATGCGTGTGTGTGCATGGGCGTGTGAGTGTGTGCAGGAAACCGAGCCAGCCAGCTTTGCAAGGCAGGCAGGGCAAAGGAAAGTCCTGGGAAACCACAAAATATCCTCAAATCCCATTTGTAGACATGAGAAATGTCACCAGGGGGAGATGGGGTGTTTCTGGKAGAGCAGAGGATGAGATGTGTCAGCCTTTTTGGGCTGCTGCTGGCGGCACGGCGCATCCTCCCAGCGCTCCAGGACAATTCCAGTGTTTCCGAGAGCAACATTTCCACTTCTGCACAGARCTCTTCCTCACTCTCCTTTTGCCTCCAGCACACACACCGACAGCAAAATACTTCAGCAAAATGCTTACACTGATAAAGCAAGAAAAAAAAAAGAAAAAAAAAACAACAGGGAAAGGAAAGGTAAGAAAAGGGAAGCAAATTTGCAGGCTGGTGTCTAAAAATAGGGGGTTTGGTACAGATCCCATCTTACCTGAACATCTCCCTGAGCAGAGCTCGACATTTATGTAATTCCATTGCTCACCTCAGTGATGTGCAAAGGGAGAGTTCATTCTGGGGAATGCTCACAGACCACGGTCTGCACATGAGCATTCCCCTGGAAATGCATGGTAGTGAGTACCCACAGGATCCAGGCTTTGGGATGTAACTAAAGGCAGAGCCCAGAATTATTTAATAGAATCATTTAATAGAATGTTTTGTGTTGGAAGTGACCTTAAAGATCACTTTCTAAACTCTTCTAAAACTCCTCCCATGGGCAGGGACACCTTCCACTGGACCACACTGCTCAGAGCTCCACCCAACATTTCTCACTGTTCATTTATTTTCCAAGAGTCTGCTACTTTCACCTAGCAGAAATTTTCACATAATGTGTCCTTGATAAGGGACGTCCTTTTGTCCTCAYATTCTTCCATTCATCCAGAAGTCTGTGACTCTCAAGGACTTTGCTGTCCCTTACTTGTTTTTGTTTTTGAATACAAGTCCCTAAGGACTGAATGAGGAGCACAGAGTTAGTCTGGACAGTGGCCACGCTTTGCCCAACACATTTGTGAGCAGAACTGACTAAGGAAGGAGCAGTCTGAGTGAGGGAAGGAGGATTCTAGCTGGCTGCAGCAGCAAATTCCTCCTTTGATTTTATTTTGAAGAGAGGAAGGAAAAACAGAAACACACATCTTTTCCTAAGATGCTCCAGGCAGAAATGTTTATGTTTTTGCTGCCTGTATCTGAACTCATTTACTTTTATTCTCTCTTTATAATCAGTGGTGATCTCATTGTTACACCCCGAGGCACAATTTCTCTCATCTTAAAGTGGAGTATTTAGTCAGATGGAGCATGTTGTAAACTTATAGCACCTTTCAGGTGCTTAACAAAGGTATGGAGTGGCAGCACAARGGGGAATGGCATCAAACTTACAAGGGTAGGGTTAAATTTGATATTGGGAAGACATTCTTCACTGTGAGAATGTTGAAGCACAGGTTGTCCCGAGGAGCTGTGGATACTCCATCCCTGGAATTGTTCAAGGACAGTTTGAAAGGGCTCTGAGCAATATGATCTGGTGGAAGGTGGTCCTTTGCAGGAGGGTTGGAAATGGATGATATTTAAAATCCAGCCTTCCAACCCAAACCATCCWGTGATTCTAWYTCAGAAGACTGTGCGGATTACATCTCTTCTCTACAGAGCCTTCCATGAAAGGATCCTCTTGACAGGTGTCCAGAGATACTTGGAGGGGATTTATTGGCAAAGTCTGAGATATGTGTAAGGATCTTCATTCGTTACACTCAGTGAAAGAATAAAATGTTATCTTAAGTGGCTTTTGCACTCCCATTAAACGTGTGTTGCATTTGCAGATGTTGCMGCTACCAAAAGAAGTCCAGGTGACACTCTGAGCTTGTGTTTAAGTGACAAGATTTCACCTCTGGTCAAAAAAGTTAGAGGATAGTAAAGTGTAATTCAGATGACTAAACAGAAGTATTGTTGGGTGAACTTCATTGGTTTTAAACTGCTTTGTACTCATGTCTGGCAAATTTGGTATGTTTCAGTTACCACAAATGTGTGTTCAGTGTTATTTCTGGTGCTCTGGGGTGTTCTTGCAGGGTAAAAGTCTTCTGTAGACCCTGTTTCACACATCTCAGGGCATCTAAAGGAAATCTGGACACCTGCCTGTGAGCAAATGGTTAAAATTCCAGATCTCCACTGACTGCTGTGGGAGTTTGAACATTTGAAATGTGTGAGAGTGTCCTCTATTTGCAGGTATCTGAATCTGGTGGTTTCTGTTTTAAAGCTCGATGAGGTGTTTAATCACTGGAGTAGATTAATGCTGGTCTGGTCATTTCTAGTGTTTTCTGTGCAGTATCTGTGAGGGGGATGAGACAGCTTTTTGTAGAGTTTAATTAAATTCCCAAATAATTGTAGTCATGTCCTGGTTTGTCCATTCTACTACAGTCTTGGGGCCAGGAAAATGWAGAAGACACAAGGACACAGGGACATAGAGCTGGATCTGTCTAACATGTCTGTTTTTTCAATGTTGGCCATAGTTTGATAATTAGAAAGAACAAGGTAAGATGCATGGGATGCTTCTCTGCCATTTATTTTCAGTCTTCAACCATTTTCAGCTTCAGGATATCTAGAGGTAACTGTGGTTTCCACCTTTTTAATATTCTTCAATGTCCAGGCTTCTCTTAAAACTATGAAAATATTTAACACTGACAAAGTGACTTTAAGCTTGGAATAGGAAAACGAGTTATGAAAAAAATGTTGAGATGATATCTGAAACAATTAACTTTTTTTCCCCCTCTCTCTTTATTCTCTTCTAGGAATTTACAGAGATGACAGTAAGTGCCTCTTCAAGCCCTCAGTACAAGGCTACTTCTGCAGACAGACAGATCACGCCCTTGTCATCTTAGAAAACTTGGACTCCAGTGTGGACAGCCAGGGACTGTTCCCAGTGGTTACAATGACCGGCAGCTTTATGGATACCTTCAGTGATGAGRCCTCACATCCTTTGTGTCACCCTGCAGAGCATCATTCTACTTTCTTCTCTGTTCTGCCATCCACCCAACTCACCACGGTTTGCTTCCCAGACCTGGCACCTCTGGCTTTCCGACTCTACCTCCTCAGTGGCCAAAACACCACCAGGCTGCCCCTGGCCATATTCTACACTGAACCACTCAGCCTTCGTGTTTTCATCCGAGAGAGTTATGTCTCTCCAAACCCTTCTTCTTTTTCACTGAATGAACTGGCAGGAGCCAATTACTTCAGCTTTGAGGACAACCTTCTCTATGTTCTCCTCCACGAGAAGGAACCTGTGGAAATAATCGCTGGCCTTTCCCTTCTTGTGGCTTTCACTGTAACTGAGGCTGTTGGGGGAGAGGGCGAGGCAATCATAACACATCGATTGGCTGATTTCTTGAAGGTTGGTCATGACCAAGTCCGTGTAGTCCATAACGTGCTGGGAGGTGAAAGCATGTTGAAGGTGATCTCAGCCAATGCCAGAAAAAAGAGCTATCACTGCCCCAACATGGCATTTTGCACAGCCTTTCACAGCAGATATGGCCCACAGGAGGAGGGGACGCAACCAGGGAACACCCGGGCTCTGCATCCGTCTGATGGGCTTGGTCCTTCGAGAGTGCTGATCATTGAGCTGGGTGATCTGCCGGGTCATCCGAGGAATGAGTTGACAAGTGACAGCTTGAAGAGTTTGGCCAGGACAATTATCAACACTCATCAGACTGGAGACCTTCAGAGGGGCCTTGGAGTCCCGATTGATACCTTGATGGTGATTCAGTCTGTCCTGCTGTCCCCAGCAGAARGTAACAGTAGGTAAGTAGCAGATTTATCACTGTCAGATATAATTTAAATGTAGTGAGGCAATTTGTCCACTTGATCTGCTTATTAAATAACTTTTCCATTGACTGAAATATGACCAACCATGCTGAAATACATCATAAAGTTTCCATGACTTGCACAGAGAAGCTGTGGCTGCCCGTGCAAGTGTCCAAGGTCAGGTTGGACAGGGTTTGGAAGATGTYCCTGCCCATGGAACTAGATCAGCTTTAAGGTCTTCCAAAACAATCCACTCTGTGATTCTGTGATGTCAGAGCTATGCCCAAGTACAGGCTGGACCCCCAAGTATCAATTACCAGGTTTTTCTGTTGGTGCTCATGAACCTCTGTAGTGCAGAGATGTCAGTGGTGGTTTAAATGAGGAACAGAGTTCCCAGAGGTCTGTCTTGACCCTGTAAAGAATTGGGTTGAGTCAGGTTATCACAGCTCTTAAATTCTAAACAATTTAACCTATGAATGTTTATAAATTGATACATATAATATAATATAATATAATATAATATAATATAATATAATATAATATAATATAATTATAAATCGATGTGAACCAAGGATGCATTATTTAAGATGAGTTGTTACCTTAACTGTCTCATAGATCTAAACCTTTATTCATATACTTTAAAATTTAAGGCCAGAAAAGTCTGTTTAGTCTTATACTTTGATTTCCTACATGATACAGGCCATTAGGTTCGTTTTGATGCCTGAGTTTTGACCTGTCTTTTTAGCTAAAATTCTAGAAAACCATCTGGTCATGATGATAYCAATACTGGACACATCCAGTACTGCCTGAACATGTGCCTGGATGTTGGGTGCTGTTCCTGTTCTTGCTGTCACAAGTGCTTGCCAATTTTCTCTTGTCAGCCTCTCCCTCCAGCTTCCCATGAGAGCTTCTTGTTCTTTCGTCCATTTTTATATCAGTAACTTTCTGGGCATTGAATCTTCCTCCTCCTCCTAGAGATACCCTCAGAATAACCAAATCACCTCACTGTCTACTTTGAAAAAAGATTGAAAGGTTTGAGATCTGGTCTTCCTTCCTTCCTTCCTTCCTTCCTTCCTTCCTTCCTTCCTTCCTTCCTTCCTTCCTTCCTTCCTTCCTTCCTTCCTTCCTTCCTTCCTTNTTCCTTCCTTCCTTCCTTCCTTCCTTCCTTCCTTCCTTCCTTCCTTCCTTCCTTCCTTCCTTCCTTCCTTCCTTCCTTCCCTCTGTCTCTGTTTTCTGAATCCTTTTGGAAGTGTGCAGAAAGTCAAGGTTACATTCTTAGCAGATTTCCTAACTTAGGATACTTTCAAGATTCAGCTGGACAGGCTGCTGGGCCATCTTGACCACACCATGATATTTCCAAGAAAGACTGGACCACATGATCATTGAGGTCCCTTCCAACCTGGTATTCAGTGATTTTATTATATCGGTGCCAAACCCAAAGTGATAATAATTTTCCATTTTCTACTGGCACAATTCAGTGATTCCATTAGCCTGTTCTCCTGCAGAAACAGGAGAGCTCATGGTCTTCTCCTTGCTCACTGTATTCTTTAATTCCTTTTCAGTTCTAACTGTCCAGAACCCAATTCCCTCTGTTTGCCCAGATCCTACATCCCACACGATCTGGGCCCCCATCTTTGACTCTTCTGTTTGTAATTTATCAGTCCACAGAATTTTCCATGCATTTTATCAGTAGTGGCTTTATAATTATATCTCAATGCAGACACAGCAACAGATTTCAAGAGAACAACACAGGGCAGTCCTTTGCTTTAAAATACTTTTCCTCTGGAGCTCCCTTTTGAGCTCTGCCAGTTACAGAGTCCTCAGTCTGTTTTGTACGTACTACATTTGATTGATATTCAGTATCAGAACTCACTTCTTGAAGGTGGTTTTTTCCCTTCTCCTCCACAGCAACAAACAGCCCTTTCTCTCCCTCCTTCCTTTGTCCCTGTCTTGCTCTTTTCCACATCCTAAAGCTACTATTTGCATGGCCCAGATGTCAGCCCTTATCTGCAGAGGAAGCTGTGAGGAGCAGGGCTGGGATGGGAGCAGACAGCAGTGTCTTTCTGCCTCAGATCCTGAAACTGTATTAAAAGCATATGGGTTATATGAAAAAGGTAATATCCCATCTGTTTTTAATAGGGGACATGGGATTTGATGTTTKGCAACCTTATTGTGTGCTCTCTTGATATTGCATAATGTTATTTTTTGATGTTGTGCACTACTGAGCCTGTACCCWACTATAAGTATATTCCATATATTCCATCCATGCAAGAAAGAAATTGGATTTGTCTAGGACTTACCCTCTGTAATTAATACCACATCCTCTCCCATTTACTGCTGACCCCAGAACCATCCTGATGTCTGCCAGTGATACAAAATGCTGTTCACATGCTTAACTTTTTTAGTTAAGACTCTGGGTGGGTTGTGATGGAGAAGCAGCCACAGTGAGGACACTGTGACTGTAGAAACCTTT